AAGGATCAAAGTTCTTTGTATCCAATGAAAGGTCTTCTCACAAGGATTACATATGTGAAGTATGAAAGCCCTGTCCCTTACTATTCAGAAGTTATGGCCATGGTTAAAGTTTTTTCACAAGTACAGAAATCTCCAAGGTCAAGGTCAATAGGTCAAGGTTGTTGGTATTCAGGAAAGGCCTTGCCATAAGGAATATTTGTGAGAAATATGAAAGTCTTATAATCTACTGTTCAATAGTTATGGCCAAGGTCGTAGTTTTTAAAAAGTGGGTCAAAATCTAAAGTCAAGGTCAAAGGGTCAATGTTCTTGATATCCAATGAAAGGTCCTGTCACAAGGATTACATATGTGAAGTATGACAGCTATAGCTCTAACCCTTCAAATTTATGGTCAAGGTTTGTTTTTAGAAGTAGGTAAAACTCCAAGGTCAAAGGGTCAAAGTTCTTGGTATCCAATGAAAGATCTTCTCACAAGGATAACATTTTTGAAATATTAAAGCCCTAGTCCCTACCGTTCAAATGTTATGGATAAAGTAAAGGTTCAGAATTTTAGTGTAAAAATGGGTCAAAATCCAAGGTCAATGTCGAAAGGTTAAATTTGGTGGTACCCAAAAAAAGGTCTTGTCACAAGAAATAAACACGTGAAATATGAAAGCCATAGCTCCCCTCAATCAAAAGTTATGGGCAAGGTTCAAGTTTTTGTGACGGACAGACTGACACGACGAATGAGATTTAATGTCCCCTCGCTTTCACGAAAGCGGGGAGCAATAAGGCAAAGTCTCACATTAAACTAATTATCCCAAGATCACTCATCTGGAAAATTCTAGATGCAATTCTGGTAGGTGCATCCTTAGAAGTATATATCATCCATGCAAGTTTGCTCAACATAAGGCTTATAGTTACTTGGGAATAAGACCTGCATCATGTAACTAGAATGTCCAATATGGACTAATTGGCCCCGCCCTACCCCTGGTGGTCATGAGTTTAATAATTTAGAATCTAGGAATTTTCCCTACGTAACTCAATGTAAAACTTGGATTCCGTATTTTGACCCTGTCCTCCCTCAGGGGGTCATGAGTTTAATAATTTAGAATCTACACTGCCCCAGGTTGCATCCACATAAGTTTCAGCTATCCTGGCCCACTGGTTCTTGAGAAGAAGATTTTTAAAGATTTTACCTAATATTTCAATGTAAAACTTGGATTCCCTATTGTGGCCCCGCCCTACCCTCAGGGGTCATAAGTTTAATATCTAAATCTAAACTACCCAAGGATACTTCCAGATAAGTTGAAGCTTCCCTGGTCCATTTGTTCTTGAGAAGATTTTTAAAGATTTTTCCTATATATTTCAATGTAAAATTTGGATTCCCTATACCCCGCTCTACCCCTGGGGGTCATGAATTTAATAATTCACAATCTGCACTACCCCAGAATATTTCCAGATAAGTTTAAACTTTCCTTGTCCATTGGTTCTTGAGAAGATTTTTATAGATTTTCCCTACGTAATTCAATGTAAAACTTGGATTCCGTATTTTGACCCTGCCCTACCCTCAGGGGGTCATGAGTTTAATAATTTAGACTCTACACTACCCCAGGTTGCATCCAAATAAGTTTCAGCTATCCTGGCCCATTCGTTCTTGAGAAGAAGATTTTTAAAGATTTTTCCTATATAATTCAATGTAAAATTTGGATTCCCTAATGTGGCCCCTCCCTACCCCCCGTTGGTCATAAGTATAACAATTTACAATCTACACGACCACAGGATGCTTCCACATAAGTTTCAGCTTTCCTGGCCCAGATGATCTTGAGAAGATTTTTTTCAAGATTTACATATTTTGTCTTTTCTTGATTATCTCCCCTTGGAAGGGAGATTGGCCCTTCATTTTTTTAAATTTAAACTCCACTTCACCCAAAGATGCTTTGTACCAAGTTTGGTTAAAACTGGTCCAGTGGTTCTTGAGAAGAAGTTATGTGTTGGGTCCTCGAACAGTGTCAACTTAAAAGTAGGTCACTGTGACCTACTTTTCTTAAATTTTATGGCTAATCTTTTCTAAAACATTTATATGTTTAAAATCATCAAATCTTGTAAGTTGACGCATCCTGGCCTAAAAACATATTTATTAAAAGGTAGGTCACTGTGACCTACATTTTTAATTTTGTGAGCATTAGTTTTCAAATTGTTTAAAAGGCATATTTTGAATACTTTCTAACCTATGATCATCAAACTTTGTCAGTCGATGCATCTTGAGTCTTCGAGAAAGAAAAACGTCGACCAAAAAGTAGGTGACAGTGACCTACTTTTTACATTTTATGGCTATATTTAAGTATCTCTTAGGTACTTATTGGCCTAGAATTGCAAAACTTTGTCAGTTGATGCATCTTGGGTTTTCTGAGAACATCGTTTAAAAAAGTAGGTCAGATGACCTACTTTTCACATTTTATGGCTATATTTAAGTACCTCAGGTGTTGATTGGCTCAGGATCATCAAACTTTGTCATTGATCTAATCATCATCAGGTCTTCCTCATTTGAAAACAATTGATGCACCTTGGGTTTCAGAGAATGTCTACCAAAAACAGACCTGTTTACCCATATTGTTGTCTCTCAGTATTTCTGATTAGATTTGTCCGTGAGATTTGGCATTTGCCGGTAAGATTTCACTTTTCATCAATTTTACATATACAAATGGAGAACAACTGCTTTTCCGATTTATAAAACATGGTTTAATAACATGGTCATAATCATTTTATAACACGGCAGTTTGGCAATCCGACATAACTGCGTTTGAAAGACAGATCATAACAAAAACTAACTTCTCAATTCTAAATAAGTGTATTTCTTATTTCCGTATTTTCATAACAGCAAAACGTGAGACGTATTTTGGACTAAAAAACCATACAAATTACGGCGAAATCGTAAGAGTAAACAGGTCTGCAAAAAGTAGGTCACAATGAACTACTTTTGAAATTTTATGGCTATTTTAAATTATTTTCAGGTCCTACATGTAATTGTAGAAGTCCTACACGTAACTGTAGAATCTACAATCTTTGTCAATCGATGTATCTCAAGTCCCTGCAGTATATCAAAGAAAATGCAGAACACATTGACCTATTTTAGAAATTTTTAGGCTGTATTCAAATATTTCAGGTCCTGAATTGCTAAGAATTATAAATCTGTTTCAATTAATGCATCTTGAGTCCTTAGAAAATTTCAATCAAAATGTCGGTCACTGTGACTTACTTATGGTATCTCATTTAAATATCTTCAGTCCTGACTGGCTAATATTCATCAAATTTTGTCAGTTGCTGCATCTTGAGTCTTCAGAGGAGGTCAACTGAAATGTAGGTCATGGTGACCTACTTCTGAAATTTTTAAAATATTTCAAGTACTTTGAAGCTAAGAAGCTATGTTCAGTTGATGCATATTTGGTCCTCAGAATGTGTCAAATAAAAAGAAGGTTATGGTGACCTATTTTTGCAATTTCTAGGCATTGTTTGAATATTTCAAATAATAAGAGTCTTAAGAGGTATTGTTATTTAAGGCATTTTGGGGTCTCAGAGTTAACCAAATGTAGGTCACTGTGACCTTCTTTTGAAATACCATTTCAAATTATAGTTAATCTCGTAAACTTTATTTTCTATATACCTAATAAATCGTATCTCATGGCTATATCCTTAAAGAAGATGGGCGTACTTGGCGTGTGATCTCCAAGAATCATTTGTACGAAACATTTGTGGTTTAAACGTCTATGATTTGGTTGGCTGACCATAGCTGGTCAGTTTACAAACACAACTAAAGGTTTTTTTTCATTTAGTTTGAAATGCCCTGTCAGATTATCATAGTAACATTTTATGACCATTTTCCCTAGGAGGTACAATAACAGTAATGAATCACAAAAAATAAATATCTACATGTATCAGATTAAAGGCATATATGGTAAGTGTACATGAACATCAAAGTTTAAGTATAATCGAAAATTTGAATTGATTTCCTTCTCTAACTAAACTGAACCAATTATCTAATTCAAAATTTAAATAAATCAGCACATAAAATGAAACTGACAAATTAATGGTTTGTTTGCATTAAAAAAATAAACGTCCCATGCGAGGCTCGAACCAAAAAACATTTTACTTCCAGTGCACCGAACAGATAGCCCAACTTACTGAGCTATCAACGCTACACTTACAGTTGATTTTTAAAAGGACAAAGAAGCACATTTAATTTACTTAAAGGAATTTTTTTTGGAAAAAGTTCATTTTTCATGGTCTCTGGGTCTTCTCTCCATTTTTTACAAACAAATAATTTCAAAGTCATGGAGAGAAGACCCACAAATATAAAAAATTAAAATCATGTTCTAAAATGTACCTTTTTGTACCAAATGTCTGATCTAGCCAATTTTCAAGTTATTTTTTAGCAAATCAAAATTTACTTTCGGGAAATTCAAATTATTTTCCTTTCCCATTTCTCAGAAACCCGATGAATATAAAAAAAAATTAAAATTTCATTTGACATGTTGATTAAATTTTACGCCCAGATTCCTGCTGAATGCCAATCAAAAGCGCCCTCGTTCTTTAAGATAATAAGGGGCTTAGAATCATCACACTTTGTCATTTAATTATCCTGGGCTCTCAGAGTGTTTTAACCAAAATGTAGGTCATGATGACCTACTTTTCAAATTTTAAGGCTTTAGCTATATGAACAGGATACTTAGGGGATTCAAATATAAGTTTGTACAATTTATCAGAAGAGGGATTCAAGGCCCTTGGGCCTTTTGTTTTACATTATCTGAAGCATTTATGGGTCTTAAAATATGCTTTTAAGATGAATACATGAAGTTAGAAAAAAAAACGCTGAAATGACTTTCACAACATCCTTGCACTTGATTCTGTACAACTACATATGCAATGCATGACACAGAAGAATGATGCATAACTCGTTTGAATATTCAAGACATTCATGGACATTTTATCAAAAACTGTTGATAGAACATCAAAAGAAACATACAAGCAATTTAAACATGTTTATTCTTTTTACCAAAATAATTCATCTGCACCAATATATACATGTACAAAATATATACTGAAATAAGGAATATTTAGATGCATTCGGGGAAAAAATCTTTGTAATAATACCTAGACCAAACCAGGTCTACTTTTTTGAAATTTCACAATTTTTTGTAACTTTTTACAATAACTTTCATGCATTTGAATGAAAAGTAAATCCCTAGGGCAGAAATACAAAAAATATGGGAAAATGTGAAAATTTGGCATCATTCCAACAAATTTCCATAGGGTCCAATAAAATTTAACAGCTTTTGAGTTGGCCCTCTAAGTAATGGACCTCTCTCTAAGGCAGAAATAATCAAAAAAGCCCTAGCACCAACTATTAATCAAAAGTTAGGGCTATGGTTAAATTTTTGTGAAAGTTGTTCAAATTCCAAGGTCAAGGTCACAAGGTCAAATTTGGTGGTACCAAAAGAAAGGTCTTGTCACAAGGAATACACCAGTGAAACAGTTAAGCCATAGTCTCACCTACTCAAAAGTTATGGACAAGGTTAAAGTTTTTGACCAGTCTGTCTGCAAATACTTTAACCTAGTCCATACATTTTGAGAAGTTTTTTATACTTTGTGTAACAGTGTCTTCAATGTGAATCAGTCATTTTCTACTGCAGGGCCTAGAAAAAAAAATATTAAAAAGTTTTTGCAGACAAACAAGGCAAAAACTTTATACCCTGAATCTTCTACCCAATGGTATAAAGGGGGCATAACAATAAAAATTGTTAAAAGAAAAATAAGCAATGACAGTCACTGTATAATGGTCCTCATTTTAAAATTCTTATCAGAGCAATATTATACCTAATGCTCATAATTCTCTATTAAATTAAGAAAGAGCACAAAGATAAATATGCATATAAGCAACTTCTTTTTCTCAAACATGTAATCATAATTTTATTTCCATATGATAAAATATCTTAGAACTTTTTATAATGTTTTTTGTACCTTAATACTTGCTAACAAATATTTTTGTGTATACACAAATATATAATCAGCAAATTGAGCAGTTTTTTTTTATACTTTGTGTAACTGTGTCTTTGATGTGAATCAGTCATCTTCTACTGCAGGGCCTAAGAAAAAAGAATATAAAAAATTCAAAGTAAATTGTTTTCAATTTTGCTCATCTTTTATGAATAAGATGGGTTTTTTTTTTTATTTTCAGCATTTAGAATTTACCCATTTGCAACCAAGGTACAAGAGCAAAAATAAAAGTAACAGGGGCAAAGTTTTCTTTCTAATGAAAACCAGGGTACTATAAAATTTCTGTTTTCCTGAGAATTACTTGGCACTATTTTTTGCAGAGTAAAGTGAGTGAGTAAAGAGCCCTGCCACAGCATGATACACCCATCAAATATATGTACATGCATTGTTCAATTCTCATATTTAACAGTTTAGAGTGTAAGAAAATCATGTCAACCTTCATTCAAAGATTTCTATGATTTCTTCATTCCTTATACTTGCTGTTTATAATCTCCTGTAGTGTAGGCATAAAGCAATTAAACAAATATTACACCATAGATTTTTCTCAACTGTTGTCGACAAATGCACATCTGCAACCCCCCTCCCATTCTTCACCCCACAGCAACCCCTGACATTGGAACCATACATTTCACAATTTTGGAAAAGACATCCTCACTCATCATAAATGTTTGATCAGTATCAAGGAGCAGATTTCAAAGCATTAATTCATTTTCAGTATATAATTAGAGCCCCACCCTAACACTGTGGGATTCACATCCGATTTAGTGGCATAGAGTCTAGGATACCCTGGAAAGGTGGAAAAGGGCCATGCACAGTTCATAGTCATCAAGCACATTGGATTTTTCAACTTGAATAAATAGCACAAATAAAGTTTATGTAGAGCTCTATCAAACTACAGAGAGAGCAAATGGACTCTGGTGGAAGTTTGGATACTGCAGCCATAAACTGGGCGGTGAGATTTTTTTTATTTTTTTTTTTTTTTTTTTTTTTTTTATGATTGTGTCACAAATCATTTAGAGAACTCAACAGATTCTATATCATAGATACAAATCTGGGGGCATCCACCCCAAAATTTGTTCATGTACTATGAATTTAAAAAAACCTGTCTCGTTTTCTAAATAATACTTAAAGATTAGTTTTAAGCTATGATTCACATTTTTATATATGGCAGATCATATTCATTGTCTCAAACCTTCATGAACCCATACTGAAAAATTATTTTTAAAACATCACCAATTAAGCTAAAATGAACCCATCTGACCTGGATCTGAAGAACTACTACTCTGGCTGCTGCTGCTCTTTGTAGATTCCAAGTCACTTGGTGTTTGGTTTTCTTTTCCTTTCTGGGGGGACTGAAAAAATGAGTTAATTCCCTTCTGCCAATCAGGAGTTGGACGTGGACAAACAGGGTTTCCTCCGGCATACTTTCCCGTCTTTCCTAAATAATTGTATTAAAAGTATTTTTTTATCTTCGGTAGTGATTTGGTGCATTGATAATCTGTTTCTTGAAAATGAGCTAAATGCAGAGTGGACAGATAGACAAAAGGAGGAAAGGATAGAGGGAAGTCTATCCCAAAAGCACCGGTCCATCGGACAAAACAGGTGAAAATCTTATTGGTCTGATGCAATAACTAGTAAAATTGGTCCGTTTGTCTGAGTTTTGTTTTGGTTGGGTTTTAAATTTTATACTTTCTATTTCATCATATAGACGCTGAAACTAATACCAAAACACATTATCAAACATTTTGTCGATCATGATTGTTTTAAAACCTACTTTCGCCACGATGTTTCTAAAATATTTTGATAGGACAGTTCCAGGAAGATTTCAGTTATATTTTAATATATTATTTATATTATTAAATATATTATATATATAATTAATGTCATATTTGTTTATTGATTCATATGATATAAAGACACCTTGTTATGATCATTATATATGATAAAAGTTGGACCAGTGAAAATCGTTTGGTCCTGTGAAATTGTTTCAACTGTCTGTCAGAATGTCCTATGATGATTTTTCTTTTTCGCGAAGAGTGAGAGGGATGGAAGGATGGACTTAAAACATATGTAATTATCGGTAGAGAGTCAGAGCTCACCACAATAAAAGTTGTCATTAAGGAAGGCAAAGTCACATATATAAGTAATAATCAAGTAGTGTACATCCCCAACTTTGGTTTGATAGGGCTTGCAGTTACTGTAGACAAAATTTTCAGTGAAGTATTACTTTATTCTATGAATGCGGTCACAATTTTTTTGCGAAAATTTGTCACAGCATACATAAAGCAATATGAGCTGCAACTTTGATGTTGGAATTTTTTGTTGCAAAATTGTAAATAACTATTTCAATGACAGAAAAAAAATAATTCTAATAAACTTTTGTTTTTCATATTTGCGGTGGAAGAATTATTTATAAGCTTCAATGGTATCGAAATTACATTATTGTTGTCCTGTACAATAATGATTTCTCTTATAAAACTGTATATTGGATTGTATATTTAAGAGTCCTTCTTCTGCTTTATTTTAGTCTAATTGATCATAAAGGTTTAAGTTACATACAGATTTATCATAATAACACATTTTAACAGCAAAATAAAATTTTCAAAAATGCAGCTCATATTGTTTTAAAGTGTATTTAGAAAGAAAATTGCATTAAATTTATGAAAATATGATAAAGGTAATGCATTAATACACACGTATGAATATGTATATTCTATATACAATTAATTCTCGATAAATTGCAGCCTTTCGTAATTTAGAAGTCATGGCAGTATAATGAATTTGGCGATGAACTAGATTTCCCATCTTTTGGGATACAATAAGTAGAGTTACAGTTCTTGGAAATACATAAAGCATTTCTATAAATTATTACTATTACATGTATATAAAACATACCGTATATCAAACATATGAGCTCTGGAATATATGTACCCAACATTGTGAATAACCTATCACTCCACAATGAAATCTGGGAGTCATTGTTACTATAGCTCCAAATAAAGTAACAAGTAGATGCTGCTTAACGCTAGTAATGACAGAAAGTCTGTATACGTACTTACCACTGGAGGGGTCACTAGAGGAGGAGGAGCTTCCACCTAGTGCTTTTCTTGGGGCACTTGCTGCTACAACTAGAAACAGAATTAAAGTTAAGCATAGCTTAAAGATACTTGGTTTAATTTACCAGGACTGTTTCAGACATGTTGCAGTAGTCTGGATTGTATACAATTAGCTACAGTAACCTGAATACCATGCATCGGACACCCTTGTGCTTCGACAAATTTTAGGGATATCACTACCAATGAAAAACAAGAGATGTTTGTAAAACACTTATGCCCCCCTCCCCCCAAATTGTAATTTTTCCAAGTCCAAAAGGGCATAACTCTGTCAAAAATGGCACGATTGTACCCAAAACAGATCTTGACCTAGATATTCATGATAAATCTCTATACTAAATTTCATTTCAGTATGTGCAACGGTTGCAAAGAAAATGAACGGAAACTGCAAATAATTGGAATTTTTTTCTTTTTCTAAGTCCAAGCAAGGGGCATAACTCTGTCAAAAATGGTGCGATCATACCCAAAATAAAACTTGGCCTAAGACATTCATGTGATATATCTGTACACTAAATTTCATTTCAGTTAGTGCAAACGGTTGCCAAGAAAATGAACGGAAACTGCAAATAATTGGAATTTTTCAAAGTCCAAGGGGCATAACTCTATCAACCAGAAGTCTCTGTCGAGACTGTAGCTCTACTGGTTTATACTTAAAACAAAGGAAGAGAAAAGTAGCAGTTGGGACTTGAGACTTTAAATAAGCAATAAATAGAAAAATGATCCTTGCCACTCAATAAAAACCAATGCACAGAATTATGTATCTTAGTATAGTCTACTTGTGTGCCAAGTTATACTGAAATCAGACCAAAACTGTAGGAAGAGTAGCATTTTGAAAGAATTTCACAGAAATTTCTATTTTTAGTAACCATGGCAACATTGTTCATTGAAATCAAAAACCGATGCACAGAATTATGTATCTTAGTGTAGTCTACTTGTATGCCAAGTTACATCAAAATCAGACCAAAACTGTAGGAGGAGTAGCATTTTGAAAGAATTTCACAGAAATTTCTATTTTTAGTAACCACGGCAACACCGTTTATCGAAATCAAAAACCGATGCACAGAATTATGTATCTTAGTGTAGTCTACTTGTGTGCCAAGTTATACTGAAATCGGACCAAATCTGTAGGAGGAGTAGCATTTTGAAAGAATTTCAAAGAAATTTCTATTTTTAGTAACCAAGGCAACACCGTTCATCAAAATCAAAAACCGATGCACAGAATTATGTATCTTAGTGTAGTCTACTTGTGTGCCAAGTTATAATGAAATTGGACCAAAACTGTAGGAGGAGTAGCATTTTTAAAGAATTTCACAGAAATTTCTATTTTTAGTAACCACGGCAACACCGTTTATCGAAATAAAAAACCAATGCACAGAATTATGTATCTTAGTGTAGTCTTCTTGTGTGCCAAGTTATACTGAAATCGGACCAAAACTGTAGGAGGAGTAGCATTTTGAAAAATTGTTTACAGACAGACAGACAGACAGACGGACGGACGACGGACGCATTACTATCGCATAAGCTCTTCTGGTCTCTGACCAGTAGAGCTAAAAATGGTGTGATCATTCCCAAAAGAAAACTTGGCTTAGATATTCATGTGATAAATCTGTAAACCAAATTTCATTTCAGTATGTGCAACACTTGAGAAGAAAATGAACAGAAACTGCAAATAATTGGAATTTTTCAAAGTCCATGGGCCATAACTCTTATCAACCAGAAGTCTCTGTCGAGACTGTAGCTCTACTGGTTTGTACTTATCAAAAACCATTGCACTATTTTATGTATCTGTGTATAGTCTACTTGTGTGCCAACTTATTTTGAAATCAGACCAAAACTGTAGAAGGAGTAGCGTTTTAAAAGAATTTCACAGAAAATTCTATTTTTAGTTACCATGGCAACACCGTTCAACGAAATCAAAAACCGATGCACTATTCTATGTATCTTAGTGTAGTCTACTTGTGTGCCAAGTTATATTGAAATTAGACCAAAACTGTAGGAGGAGTAGCATTTTGAAAGAATTTCATAGAAATTTCTATGTAACAACGCCAAGACCGTTCGTCGAAATCAAAAACCGATACACAGAATTATGTATCTTAGTGTAGTCTACTTGTGTGCCAAGTTATATTGAAATCAGACCAAAACTGTAGGAGGAGTAGCATTTTGAAAGAATTTCACAGAAATTTCTACTTTTAATAACAACGCCAAGACCGTTCGTCGAAATCAAAAACCGATATACAGAATTATGTATCTCAGTGTAGTCTACTTGTGTGCCAAGTTATATTGAAATCAGACCAAAACTGTAGGAGGAGTAGCATTTTGAAAGAATTTCACAGAAATTTCTATTTTTAGTAACAACGCCAACACCGTTCGTCGAAATCAAAAACCAATACACAGAATTATGTATCTTAGTGTAGTCTACTTGTGTGCCAAGTTATATTGAAATCAGACCAAAACTGTAGGAGGAGTAGCATTTTGAAAGAATTTCACAGAAATTTCTATTTTTAGTAACAACGCCAAGACCGTTCGTCGAAATCAAAAACCGATACACAAAATTATGTATCTTAGTGTAGTCTACTTGTGTGCCAAGTTATATTGAAATCAGACCAAAACTGTAGGAGGAGTAGCATTTTGAAAGAATTTCACAGAAATTTCTATTTTTAGTAACAATGCCAAGACCGTTCGTCGAAATCAAAAACCGATACACAGAATTATGTATCTTAGTGTAGTCTACTTGTGTGCCAAGCTATATTGAAATCAGACCAAAACTGTAGGAGGAGTAGCATTTTGAAAGAATTTCACAGAAATTTCTATTTTTAGTAACAACGCCAACACCGTTCGTCGAAATAAAAAACCAATACACAGAATTATGTATCTTAGTGTAGTCTACTTGTGTGCCAAGTTATATTGAAATCAGACCAAAACTGTAGGAGGAGTAGCATTTTGAAAGAATTTAACAGAAATTTCTATTTTTAGTAACAACGCCAAGACCGTTCGTCGAAATCAAAAACCGATACACAAAATTATGTATCTTAGTGTAATCTACTTGTGTGCCAAGTTATATTGAAATCAGACCAAAACTGTAGGAGGAGTAGCATTTTGAAAGAATTTCACAGAAATTTCTATTTTTAGTAACAATGCCAAGACCGTTCGTCGAAATCAAAAACCGATACACAGAATTATGTATCTTAGTGTAGTCTACTTGTGTGCCAAGCTATATTGAAATCAGACCAAAACTGTAGGAGGAGTAGCATTTTGAGAGAATTTCTTAGAAATTTCTATTTTTAGTAACAACGCCAACACCGTTCGTCGAAATCAGAAACCGATACACAGAATTATGTATCTTAGTGTAGTCTATTTGTGTGCCAAGTTATATTTAAATCAGACCAAAACTGTAGGAGGAGTAGCATTTTGAGAGAATTTCTTAGAAATTTCTATTTTTAGTAACAACGCCAACACCGTTCGTCGAAATCAGAAACCGATACACAGAATTATGTATCTTAGTGTAGTCTATTTGTGTGCCAAGTTATATTTAAATCAGACCAAAACTGTAGGAGGAGTAGCATTTTGAAAGAATTTCACAGAAATTTCTATTTTTAGTAACAACGCCAACACCGTTCGTCAAAATTAAAATCCGATACACAGAATTATGTATCTTAGTGTAGTCTACTTATATGCCAAGTTATATTGAAATCAGATCAAAACTGTAGGAGGAGTAGCATTTTGAACAAGAGGCCCACGGGCCTTATAGGTCACCTGAGCATCATGCAACAACTTTCAAATGATTGAATTTGTTTCATGTTTTAAGCTAGATCTATGCTAAGGCATTCACAATTTTGGAAGAGGCACTCTTGCTCAACATAACTGTGTACTTAGTTAGTTTATTTAAAACCTAGGAGCAGAGAAGAAGATTTTCAAAGATTTAATGCATTTTCACTATATAATCAATAGAGCCCCGTCCTAACACCAGAACCCCTGACCCTGGGGCCATAAAATTCACAATTTTGGTAGAGGCACTCTTGCTCATCATAACTATGTACTTAGTTAGTTTATTTAAAACCTAGGAGCAGAGAAGAAGATTTTCAAAGATTTAATGCATTTTCACTATATAATCAATAGAGCCCCGCCCTAACACCAGAACCCCTGACCCTGGGGCCATGAGTTTCACAATTTTAATAGAGGCACTCTTGTTCATCATAACTATTTACTTAGTTAGTTTATTTAAAACCTAGGAACAGAGAAGAAGATTTTCACTGATTTAATACATTTTCACTATATAAACAATAGAGCCCTGCCCTAACACCAGAACCCCTGAACCTGGGGCCATGAATTTCACAATTTTGGTGAAGGCACTCTTGCTCATCATAATTATTTACTGAATTAGTGTATTTAATGCCTAGGAGCAGAGAAGAAGATTTTCAAAGATTTAATGCATTTTCATTATATAATCAATATAGAGCCCCGCCCTAACACAAGAACCCCTGACCCTGGGGCCATAAAATTCACAATTTATGAAGAGACACTCTTGCTCATCATAACTATGTGCTTAATTAGTTTATTTAATACTCAGGAACAGAGAAGAAGATTTTCAAAGAAATAATGCATTTTCACAATATAATCAATAGAGCCCCGCCCTAACACCAGAACCCCTGACCCTGGGGCCATAAAATTCACAAATTTGGTAGAGCCACTCTTGCTCATCATAACTATGAACTTAATTTGTTTATTTAATACCCAGGGGCAGAGAAGAAGATTTTTAAAGACTTACTGCATTTTCACTATATAATCAATAGAGCCCCTCCCTAACACCAGAACCCCTGACCCTGGGGCCATGAATTTCACAATTTTGGTAGAGGACTCAATGCTGATTACAATCATACCAACAGTTTGACTGCTTGATGTCCGGGAGTAAAGAAGAAGATTTTTAAAGATTGCACTATTTTTAGTGGTTTTTGCCCCACCCCCCAGGCCCCAGGGGGGCGGGGACCACGAAATTCACAATTTTTGTTCCCCTTCAC